AAAAGTTGGTGCCCACAGCATCTTCTACTTAGCTTTTAAGGATGTAAAGAGAATTGCCATGGTAGAAAATGTAATGAGCGTTGGTATGGATTAAAGTTATTTTAATGGCAAGCAGTTGATTCAGACTGAGGGTTCGTCCAGGGAACAGAGAAAGAGCTGAACACCCAAGCTTGGGGGGAAGAGCTTGAGAAACTAGGATAACAGTAAGAATGTCAGCATCAGAATTATGTGCCTTTTTATAGGGTGCCACTATTAAAGCGTTTGGTTCCAACAGCTCCCAGGTTTTTATTTTTAATTCTGTCCCTGGGTCTGCCTTGTAAATCTTATGTGTTCTTTTAGACTCCCAAGGGAAACAGGAATTCCTCTATCAAGGCATCCCGATTTGTTCAAGAATGCTTATTGCACCCACCTTTGAGCTAGAATTGTACCAAATACATATCTTTATTATTTTATTATAAGATACAGTGCAATTACAGTGGTCACAGGATCTTTTCTCTTTCTTTAGGATAAGAAATATTTATGGGAAAACGTAGTAAATTGTTTATCTAGCCACAAGGCCTGTGTAGCCCCTCTGTTTTTCTAGCTTCCGCCTAGTGTTTTCTGTTTTGCATTTTAGTTTTTCAAGTATTTGTTGAAATAGAGTTTAGAAATATAGATAGTCTTGAATTCATAGATCACAAAGTTTAATTAATGTGATATGCACACAAGTACACATGGCTTGGCTTTATTCAAGGTATCTCAATAGAAGAGAAATGATATAAAGGCACCAGCTTATATAAGTTTAATTTAAGAGAAAGATCCTTCTGAACCTTATATTACCTAAACATGTCTGTATGTAGATGTATATTTTACATTTAATTCTTTTAAGTTTTAGTTTTCCTGTATATTAAATTTGACATAATTTTAAACAAAGCCTAAAAAATCATTTTGTTTTACATTATACCTTAGCAAAGATGACAAGTATTGTTAACATTTCATCATGAAGAGGATACATTGGTTTTATATTTAAGATAAAAAATCATAAATTTTTGTGTCATGCTAACTGACAAGACATTTAAAGTGTTGGCAACAAAAATAAACTAGAAGAAGCAGAGATATGTATAGAAAAGTCAAGATAAATGAATGGCAAAGAACAAAATCATTTGCTAAATAATATAAGAAGCTAACTTTTGTACAGGGCTATAATTTAATTGAGATGTGAACCCAGAATACAAAAGGATTCTTAGTAAATTTTTATATCTGTTAAATCTGTGGATTACTGTTATTGGCAACATTAGACACACCTCTTTGTAGACACCAATGGCCACTTCCTGAAACACTCTTCCCCCTCAAATTCGGTGCATCACATCCTTCCACGTTCTATAGAAGTGGAAGTGCTTATCATGGAAAACAATTCTTTAAGTACCTATTTTGCTTATGAATAATTTGTGAAGCAAAACACTGTGTTAATGTACTAGTTAGGACACTGCTAAAAGCTGTAACAAACAAATGACAACTTGTAGTTCAAAACAGTATCACCTGTGTAACAGTTTACTGTGGGTATTCCTGATAGAAGTGTGGCTTCCTTCCACTTGGTGAGTCAGGGCTATGGTTTTATCCATTTTATCGCTCTCTCATTTCCTAGGCCATTGGTGTTCTCTGCATTTGGCTGGCATAAAAATAAAGAGGGGTAAAGAAGGCATTAATCATCAATTCCCAAAGTGACATATATCACTTCTTTCTCTTTCCGTTAGGTAAAACTTTCCTATCCTACTTAGATGTGATAGGAGCTAGAAAACATGGCCCTTGGCTTACTAGATGCTTACTGGCAACAGTCCTATACTAGTGAAAGCATGATTTGCAATAGATTATCTGCCATAGTTCACCCCTAGAGCTACCAAGTTGTTTTGTTATCCTTCCTCCTACACATATTAATAGAATACATTCACCTCAACTCAAGAGAAACAGCCCAAAGTCCCATTCTGTTCTTACAGCCAGTCCAACATCTGCATCAGGTTTAGTTATGGCTCTTTGCAGCCAGGCAACCTGTAAACTAAATGCCACGATAACTGCCTACTACTCCACTCTCCCTTCTTATCCTGCCTCAGCACAAATCCAGTATTTAGCAGTGCAGCAGGGACAGGAGAGCCACAGGTAACTTTCCCACTTAAAAAATGGAAAAATGAGAAACACACAGCAATGATTGTCCAATGACAATAATGAAGTCCTTATTAGGCAGGCACTGTGAAGACACCCTGCTCTGGAAGTGTTCAGGATCTCTTGATTAGACCACTCTTCTGTATTTTGTAAAGAACGTCTTTGTCCTTCATTCTCTGTGGTCCTTTGAGCTGTACACATTGGAAGCTTCTTTTTCATCTATTATTCGTGGTTAAATTACATAAAGGAGTATGACCACTTTTTGCTTGTGCAGTTTAGGAACTTGAAGACTATTTTGCAGGCAATTTTTAAGACTAGGTTAAAGATTTATTTGCCAAGGCAGTTCTCTTAGAAACATAGTAGATTTCATATCTTTGGTCCTGCATTTGTTGTATGTGCTAGTGTTTATACCTTAATAAGTCAGTCTGTCCAGAAAAAAAGAAACAATTCCAGGTCTTTTAAATGGAGGACACTTAACTCAGGGAGTTAGCTACATATATGATAGAAAAGGAAAGCCAAACAGAGGATGGTGAATAAATTCAGCAATTAACAAAATCAGGAAATCACTGCATACTCTAAGGATAGAAGGATGATAGGAAGAAGTGATCTTATCAAACCTAAGAGTGCTCATAATAAAAGACTATTAGCTCCTTGAGTGATCGGAGCCATTCTTATGTGTCCCCATGCAGTGAGCACTCAGATGTTTATTTAATCAAACAGAGCTGAGCACTAAATCCTTCCACTGACTTCAGTTAGAAACACCCACCAAAAAAATAAAATGTGGCGGAAATGATGCTATTCGATATTGGGATAATCTTTACTTTGTGAATCAGCTCTAATTCGTTACTTTGGGGACCTCATTTATTTAGTAACCTATCATTGGCATTTACCAAATGAGAAATTGTCAGAAGTTTTAATTTATTATCCTTCTGTGTGATACTTTTTAGAGTTTGGAGCAATACCAATTTTTATATAAACATAGAAGGAAGAATTAAAAAGCAATAAAGTCTGTAGGTGGCTCATGCCAAAATATTTTTTTTTTTAAGTGAGGAGGGGGGAGATGGGTGGGGAGAAAGAGAGAGAAGAAGCTTTCCAGACTTACCAGGAAAATAGCAGCTGTAGCTACAGAGGATATATAGCTCTATCTTACTCTGTGATTCTTTTTTGGAATAACCTTCTAAGTTGATAATGACATTCCTTTGTCTACTGATTTGAGCCAAAGCTATCAACTTATTTTTTTTACTGTCATTTAAGAAAGAATCTGTAAAGTATTACATTGAATATTTTAGCAGTCAAAATGAATTCTAGAGTATGATCCTAATTTTGCAAGCATCACAAATGCCACTTTAGTCTTTTCTTGGATGTCCTTTATATGCTTGAGGGTATAGATATGCTGATCTCAACATAGCTGTGTCTTTTAGGATGAACTTGAAAACAGTCTCAAAATAGTAGATACATTTAACATCTTGCAAGTTGAGAATAGTTCGAGAAGTTTTTATGACTATGTTGTCTTTCCTAGAGAGAAAGAGTCTTGCTTGGATATTTCTTGATGAATATTTCCACATATACATGAAAATGAAGATTGTGGGGGTGGAATGACAAACTCAGTTGCCGTGTATCCTTTAAAAACATTTTACTGTTAGAATCTGAGAGTAGAAGACAACCTCCTTAAACTGATAAAGATGATCTGTGAAAACTTCAGACTGGACTTTGTTTTGTTACATTCATGTAAAATTATAAAAAAAGTACCCATTTTGTTTGTGGGGAAAAAAAAACATTTTAACATTGTATTCTTAACATTCACATATAAACTTTAGGTTTATTTACTTTTCACATGTGTTTAAGGTAAGAATGGCTTAAAATATAATGCACTGCACTTCATATCTATGTTTTGTCTTTCAGGCTATAATAATCCCATTTTAAAATACCCATTAAGGCTTCACCTGCCACCTTGGGGCCACATGTGGCCTTTTGGATTCTTGGGTGGGGCCTTTTGACTGAATCCAGATTTGGTTTGGATTCAGTCAAGGGGCGAGGGGCCACACTTGGGGATCCAGGGGCCACATACGGCCTTGAAGCCACAGGTTCCCCACCTCATTTGTCTGAAAGATGTCGATGCTGACTAAAAAGGGGAAAATACATTGTTTTATCTACATGGCACTTAACATCTGAAGAGTAGGCTTTTCTTTCCTGAATTGGCTTTGTGAAGTGAAGGGATGTAAAATAATCACTTGGTAATTTGGCAGTTTTATTAAAAGTAATTACTTTGTTTCAGTCATTACATCATCTGCATGGTTTTGAAAACATATAGTCAGGAAGAAAATCCTTCTTTGGTATTACTCTAGAGCATAAAATGTGCTATGATCAGTCTTTTGCATCTCTTATTGAGTTGGTTTTCTGTAATACTATTTTATAATGAAAATATTAAAATGTGAGACATATCCGTGCTGCCTCAAATAATTGGTTTAGCTTTTTAAGCATGTTATCTGTAATTTCAAAAGAATATTTCTTTCAGAACTGCTTTGCCCTGAGGAGTTTACAGTATTCTTGAAATTATAGGTGTCCATTAAGTATTTTTCAATGCCAATTCAACTATAGCTTATTGTGGTATTAATTCATTATGAAGTGACACAGGAAGAAAACTCATTATGTGATACTGTGAAAACACATATTTGTCAAAAAATAAATGAGTCAGTATTGAAAATCTATCTGGTATGGTGGGAGGGAGTCAAATGGTTTATTAGATACATTTGGGCATCGATACATTTTTCTCAAACAGGAAAACATGGAAAATATTTCACTTCCAATCTGAAGACACTCTGCATCATACACTTAAATGTTTTCTTCTTTTTTTTTTTTTTCAGGTGATATTATACCCAACTTCTAATAGCTCCAAGTCAGCTGAATTACACCGAATGATAGTTCCAAAAAATAGCCAGGACTCTGACTTAAAAATCAAACTGGCAGTGCGAATGGATAAACCACCACATATGAAGCATAGTGGGTAAGTGAATATACGAGGATTTTTTCCCCTGAATTATGGAATTTCTGTATATTATTTTTGTCAATTTAGTGGGAGAACCAGTATATCAGGCTTTCACATGGAGTTTTTCCAAAAAACTGACATACATAGGTTGTTTTACTTAATGTTTTAGACCCATAGATGTATTTATAGCTAAATGTATGGGTACATAGTTAATATAACTTCATGCTAGCACAATATTGCCATTTGATTGTATTGGATTACACATCAGTCATAATGATAAAGAACACTAATGTATGGAGATAAATTCTAGGAAATATTCTTCAAAATACAGTAATAGCTGGAACAAGCCTAGTGTTGAGGTCCTCAGAAATAGTTAAACTTACATAGAATATATAAAAGCTAAACGGTGATTCAGATACAAGCCAGAAGGCTATGTAAGTTTTGACAGGAGGGATGTGAGTGTTCATCCAATGTGCGAGTGAGATCTAAATCAATACCGGAGGAAAGTGCCGCTGACAGATAAACAAGACGTGCAGGGACCGTCTCCTGGGGATTGTCAGGGGTCAGAGTCAATGTGCTTCTCTGCCAGCGTCCTTTGTCTCTTGTAGTTGGTGAGGAAACAGTTCTGAACTCTTGAGTATAACAAAATGAGTTTCCAAGAAACCAGGTCTGTCTCACAGTAACACATTAGAACTTACCACGCCAGATTCCAGTGTGGGGTGCTAACCATTAGGAAAGGAATATGACCACTTTTCTCACTGTGGAGAGAAGCAGTTGCTAAAATGACTCACCGTGAGTTTAGCCACAAACATAGCAGTCTTAGGAAAGTGCGTTCTTGTAAAGAGGGATCTGCTGGTTTTGATGCTAAATCACCAGCATTAGGGCAGAGCTAATAGATGATTCAAAAGATGAGGAGGATTTTTGGGGTGAGAAAAAAAAAAAACAGCATTAGGCTCTGGACAGGAGGCAACCAAAGGTGTGTAATGCAGTGGGATGGGACTAAGGACTGTATTGCTTCTTTGGTTTGGGTGGGCAGCAGGTACAGTGTCAGAATAACCCTCATGGAGAAGAAAAGGACCTCAGAGGGTGAGCTCCTAAAAGGAAATAGTAATTTGGGTAGCCTACATTAGGCATCTTCAATGCAATAATGCAAATTAAAGTATAACTGTGACTCAGCTCATAATGCAGATGTAGTTCCTGGGATTTAATATTTAGGTTATACATCCATCTACTTGCCCATCATTAATTTATGCAGTGGGCATATATGAAGCACTTACTTGTTTCCAATCAGGACAAATCTTAGGTGATCCTATTTCAGGCCTAGAGGAACTGGCCAGTCAGGGATTTAGACTTGTATACAAATAGTTATGATAGTGAGTTTATGTACTGTTAAGACAGAAATGGGAAGCTGGCAGACATAATATCCAATCTTTGCTGAGGAAGGTCAACAAAAGCCTCACAAGAGACCTAGCTTTTGAACTGAAGGTTGAAAGATGAATTTATTAGGTGGACAGTGGGGGAAAATGGCATTCCATTTTCAGTATATACAAAAGGCAGTAGTCCTGGAAGGGCTTTCAGTTAATGATGACAAGTTCAATGCAGCTGTCATGGAGTGCTTTGAGACTAGACCGAGTACTAGAGCTCTGAAGTGCCTGGAGACTAGTAGAGTCCAAAATTAGACATAAAGGAACACAGGAACTGCAGTTATTTTTCCACTACTTTTTACTCAGTCCTTTTTTCTCTTGACAAATGACATAGTAAGAAGCAGGAATCTATCTATCATAAGGACAAGGATAAGATAGCTCTTAGTTTACCCATTGGCAGCACCACAGTGAATACTAATCCTAGAGTCTTCAGCTTGCCCCAGGATCAAAGACTGAAATGAAGTTAGGCATTGGGCAAGTTCTGAAGCCTTAAGCTCCTCTGAGACAAAAATCTCTGCTCTAATCTGGCTGTTTCTTTGTTTAGATGCTTCAGAGCAGGTGAGACAATCCAGCCTCCTTCCTAAGCTTGATTTTGGCAGGGGAGATATCTCGTCTGTACACTAAAGGACAATTCATTTTTTATCACATCTCTGACTAATTCAGGATCCCCTAAATGGCTGTACAATTGTTTTATGCCCTAGACTATAGGTGAAGGGAAAGATTAAAGACCGGATATCATAGTCCCTCAATTTGATCCATAAAGCTCAAGAACTCCCTGAAGGATTCAGACCAGGAATGAATTCATATCTTAGTGACATCAATTGTCATTGGCCATTGCAAAGAGATGCTAACAGGCATTTCCAGATATTCGTGGATCTGTAGTTTATGATAGCAAAAGTGAAGGAATTCCAGAACTGAAGGTATTGGTGATGCTGTACTGCTAAGTTATATAGCAAAATTAAATTAAGAACATCATATTCCATAATAGTGATTCAATAAAATCTATTTGAATACTAATATTTGACATGATCTAACAGAATTAAAGGTATTCAATATTGCTATAATAGCAATTGATCCCTATGGGCAAGGACAGAGGTACTTTACCATAGCATCTGTTCTGGTTTCTGAGTGCACATATGGTAACAGTTTTTAATATTTTGAATATTACCACTGTGTATAAATATATATGGGAAAACATAATTTCACCCATAGCATAACTATATTTGTAATTTTCTGAGATATTTCACAAATGAATTTTACTCTACTTAATTACATTCAAGAAGTAAAAGGCAACTACCCTTTTTTCCAAGTACTCTATCATACACCAAAGCAATAATATAACAGGAATAGTAGATTAATATCATTTTGTGTGGGGGCTAGATGGTGTTTTGTTAATAAATCATCCTATAATGAATAATTAACAGATGAATAATTAATTTAAAAAGAGACAAGCCAAGTTTTTTTTAAAGATTATCTTTAAAATATGGCAAACTCCTCTTGTTAAGTGGATTAAACAATAAGTTGCAGAGTTATGGATTTTTATCTTTAGAGCACTTTAGACTTTGAAATCCTTTGGTACTTCAGTAGAAAAAATTTATCCTCTGTCTTAATAATGTGGCATCAAATATATCTAATGTGAACCATTTTAATATATATTTATTTATATATATTATATATAATATATATTATATATGTTTAATATATATTCTCTATTTTGTCCATTATCACTTATCTATATAGCCCGTGTATTACTCCTGAATATTACCAGCGTTATCTGTATTTTTGTATGTATTCCCAGCTGTGCTATACATTTCTTAGACCTGTTTGAATTCCCAGTGCTTCTCATAGTATATCACCAAAGATATATATTAGTATGAGTAATGATGGAAATAACAGTGTGCCCCTTACTCTCATATATAATGATCCTATCCTTTCAGAATCAAACTGGGCATTACCACAAGACATATACTTAGCAAAAACTTGGGTTAGTTTATTCTTTTGGGATATGTCATATAAACTAATTTTAGAAACCAACTCTTAGATAAGTCTGTGAAATGAATTACCAGCTAGATTTTGGATAGTTGAATGATTCGCATCCAGCTTGTGAATTTATTTCCCTGCTTTTTTGTGTAGCATAGAGATAGAAGTGTTCTTGAACAAATGGACTGTACTTTAGCATAGCCTAGTGGCTAAGTAACAGTATTAACTTAAAACTCAGAAATACTATTTCTGTTTTTATTAAATTATTTTCCTCATTCAGAGGTTATTTTCTCAATGAAAACAAAGGCAAAATAAAATGGAACTAATAAGACAAATGACTATTACGACAATTAACTCTATAACTGAAAAGGAAAAAGAAGAAAATTAAATTTGCTGTCGCAAATATGTGGAAGCATTATGAACCCCATCTATCAGAAGTTTGCATGCAACTGATTACTTTTATGGTAAAAGATTAGTAAAAATTTTGTGAGTATGTAACTGTAGAGCTTTTTCATAGTTAACAATTCATATTTTTTTTCATAGTTAAGATAAAATCTTAGTAAAACCACTGCCATGTAAGTCTCATATTTCTTTTTGTGTAGCATCATGCTAGGCTATTTACAGGTTTGTAGAATGTATGGATGGATTGAAAAGTTTTGACATTGTCATGAATAAAACTCTGCAGTTTAATTTACATCATAAAGGTATAAAAGATAGCGGGCCCATCTCTTGCTGCAGGGGAGAGACAGCAGTTCAGCTTGTAGCAGCAAAAATGGGATAAGGACCAAGGTGGCTGTGTCGTTGTGACTCCACACTTTCCCAGAGAGCAGGCCAGCTAGGCATTTACAGCCAGGGCATCACATCTACATGAACTTCATTCATACACTTAAAATTCGAACCTTGCATTTGCTCATAAAGTGAAATAACTGCACTGTAATAAATTTGCTTTATTTAGTTTATGATTTAAGGTTTATGATTTGCAACTAATTTAGGGGACAGTCTAATGACCAAAGGGAGGAAAATCTTGTTTATGTCAAGGTAGAATTTTCTTGGAGAGTCCAGGCCTTACATAAAAGATAAGGCTGCTCTTTTCCAAAGAAAATTGATTTTTCATTTTAACCCTACCTTTTAGAATGACTTGCCTATATGTCCTTGTCTAAAATAATTAGGTTTTGACATCTTGTCTTTACCTGAACCTGTATGTTGATCATTCATATTCCAAGGTTGAACTTGCCTCAGTCTAGCTTATCCTGATATCACAAAAATCCTACTTTAGTCTCTTGAACTGTAATATTAACCCTTTGCACTCGCTTGCTTTTTTCTTGATTTCTTTATTCTACTCGGGATTTAATTTTTTAAATACCCCAGATTTTACAAAGCGTGGCAGTAGAATAAAGCACTGGAGTTTCTTTTCATACAAACTTATTTATTTGGATTTGTTTATATTTCAAATTATTGATACATTAAAAGAGTAATTTTAATCTCTATAATTTTTGCTAACCGTGTCGAGTCACACTCAACATCCGAGTGCAAAGGGTTAATAATGTCCTTTGTTTCAACTGCATCATTTGACTTTATTCAGAAGAATATGCTTGAAAGAAAATAGAAGTGTAC